ATTGGGATTAATTCTAAATTTTGAAGCCAAAATTCTCAAAAATCCCAAAAAATTCCCCAAAGTTCTCCAAAAATTCCAAAAAAAAAAAAGGCATTAAAAATTCCCAAAGAAAATCCCAGAAAATTCCAAAGAATTTTGGGAATGGGGAGAAATTCCTGCAAAAAAAGGGGAAAAATTGGATTAAAATTGGATTTTTTTAGAGTTAAAAATTCCCAAAAAATTCCCAAAATTCCCCCCCAAAAAAATCCCAAAAATTCCCAAAAAATTCTCAAAATTTCCCCCAAAATTTTGGGATCCCAAATTCTGAACGAGAATCCCGAAAAAAATCCGGGAATGGGGAAAAATTGGAATTAAATCCTGAAACTTGAACCCAAAATTCCCCTAAAAAAATCCCAAATTTACCAAAAATTCCCCAAAATATTCCAGGATCCAAAATTCCCGACGAGAGGCGGCAAAAAATCCCAGAATGGGGAGAAACTCCTGCGGAAAAAGGGGAAAAATCGGATTAAAATGAGATTAAAATCGGATTTTTTTAGTGTTAAAACTGCGCAAAATTGCCCCAAAGAATTCCCAAAATTCCCCAAAAATTCCCCGAAAAAATTCCCGGAAAAAATTCCCCAGAATTCCTGAAAAAAATTCCAAAAAATTCCCGAAAAAATCCCAAAAATCCCAAGAAATTCCCCAAAAAATCCAACAAATTCCCAAAAAATCCCCCCAGGGCGCCCAGTATAGACCAGTATGGACCAGTATAGACTGGTATAGACCAGTATAGACCAGTACGGACCAGTATAGACCAGTATAAACCAGTACAGACCAGTATAGACCAGTATAGACCAGTATAGACCAGTTTGGACCAATACAGACCAGTACAGACCAGTATGGAAATGGGAATTCCCAGTACGGACCAGTATAACCAGTCCCAGTGCTCCCAGTATAAACCAGTATAACCAGTGCTCCCAGTGCTCCCAGTATAACCAGTCCCAGTGCTCCCAGTGCTCCCAGTATAACCAGTCCCAGTGCTCCCAGTATAACCAGTATAAACCAGTCCCAGTGCTCCCAGTGCTCCCAGTATAACCAGTCCCAATGCTCCCAGTGCTCCCAGTATAACCAGTACAAACCAGTCCCAGTGCTCCCAGTATAACCAGTATAACCAGTCCCAGTGCTCCCAGTGCTCCCAGTATAACCAGTCCCAGTGCTCCCAGTATAAACCAGTATAACCAGTCCCAGTGCTCCCAGTATAACCAGTACAAACCAGTCCCAGTGCTCCCAGTATAACCAGTACAAACCAGCCCCAGTGCTCCCAGTATAAGCCAGTCCCAGTCTCTCCCAGTATAGACCAGAGCTCCCAGTCCCCCCCAGTTTGTCCCAGTTTGTCCCAGTTCCCTCCCAGTTCCCCCCAGTCCCTCCCAGTTTGTCCCAGTTTGTCCCAGTTCCCCCCAGTTCTCTCTCACCGCTTTTCCCGCCGCCTTCACTTCCGCCCGGCCAGCCGCTTTCCGTGACGTCACTTCCGCTTTCCGCCCAAACCCAACATGGCGGCGCCCTCCTACCCCGCCCGGCCGTGGGCGTGGCCAGCGATCGGTGGGCGTGGCCAATCAGAGGAACACGCTCCATATAAGGGAAAAGTGGGCGTGGCCACGCGCCCGGGGTTTGATTGACAGCTCCGGCGCGGTGGGCGTGGCCTCGGCCGCGGTTTTGGGGTCCCGGGGGGTCCCCAAGTGTCCCAAAATCCACAGAAATGCCCAAAAATCCATAAAAATCCACAAAATCCACAAAAAAT